AATAATGTTTTGTCTGTTTTGTAACACAGATACTGTTACACATGCGAGACCCACACTCCCCCACGCTGCTCCCACTGCTTCGACTGCAAGGTGTGCGTGCTGCGGCGGGACCACCACTGTGTGTTTTTTGGCCAGTGCGTCGGCTACAGCAACTACCGCTACTTCCTGAGCTGCTTGTTGTTCATGTGGTCAGGGCTCCTCTACGCCATGGTGATGAACGCGGAGGTCTTCATTGTCATACTGAAGGAGGGCGTGACGTTACACAGCATTCTGCTGCTGCTCATACCCTGGATCATGCTGGTTTCTGGTATGATCCCACACCTTGTCCGTGTTGTAGCTTCAAAGCTAAATTCCAGCTAGGTTCGGTTCTGTTTCTGTTTCATGGGAATAATTCTGGCTAACTCAAATATTATACAATAAATTCGTATTTTTGGCAAGTGTAGTCTCGATGAGTCCACAAGTAAATCTTAAGCACTAATTTATTCCACTAATATCTGCTCTCTGTTCTCACTGTAGGCCAAGTCTCAGCGCGCGCCTTCGCTTTCGCCTTCATCGCCGACACATGTGTGGTGGGCTTCCTGCTGGTGTCCGCTTTCTTCTTCTTCCATCTCTTCCTGCTGTTTCGCGGTCAGACCACAAGGGAGTGGTTCTCGTCTCGCCGGCCCTACAACCTGGGGGTCTTCGGTAACCTGCGTCACATGCTGGGCCTTCGCTGGTACCTGTGCTGGCTCTCCCCGCTCATCCCATCCCCGCTGCCCGGAGACGGGATGAACTTCGAGGTCACAGGACCGCTGGAGCCCACCAAGTAACAGCGAGAGGCTCCGAATAGGCGGCGTGTCCTTGCTTTAGCGGTGATGGGTAATGGTGCCAGAAGAAGCTGTAGCGGGGATCGGCCAGAGGTTTTTCTGTAGCTTTTTATCCGTGCTGAGACAAATCAGATGTTGACCTGAAGATATCCTGTGCACTGAATGAGGCTGGCCTCTGAATATTATTACACATTAAGAAACAGTTTTCAACAGAAGCACTAAAAATGTTCCAGAACAGCACTGATAAGAATGTATTATTATTATTATATAAAACACTTGCAAGCTGACAATGACTCTTGGGGCGGTAGGGCTGTTGGGTGCGGTGATAAAGTCTACTTTATCTGGGCTTTCTCAAAATAAATGTAAGCGAAGCTGCCTGATTTTAAACCTCCCGTGCACTGTTCCTGATTAGACAACATGATTCCTCACATCTTCTGAACAGCTGAGTTTATTACACCAACCTTTTCACTGGATGTCGTGTGAAGAGCTGAAGTTGACACGGCAATGTCTTAAAGGACAATGAATGATAAATAGTAAACACAGGTAAGAGTACACAGTAAAATCATGTGTTTGAGTTTGAAAAGTAAAGTAACTCTGTAACAAACAGTGTTTAAATCATGTCTGTTGGAACAGACTCCATGTTTCACAGTTTGTTGGTCATTTAAAGATGTCCCGATTCTTTATAAACCACTAATTAAACTGACAACAGTGTTGTAATCTTTATAACTTCTCTTGTCTGACTGTAAAGTACAATTTTTACAAAACAACTAATTTTTTTTATTATTATTTTTAGCAGAAGCAGAATTATTATCACCTGCTACAGTTCAGTTTGTAAGGTGGCCTTTGGGTGATTCAACCTGTTCTTTACTTTATACCAGCTGGACTTTCGTCACTTCATTGGATTAAATGTTTATAGAGAGGGGTTTTTTTTTCACTATTTTGTCTTTATTTGAGATCCTTCATGCCTTGGGTTGAAAAGAAATTACAATATTTTGTTTTGACAGGTTCTTCTATGTGTTGCTAAATTTCTATTTTAGCCAAACATCTTTTTTTGAATGTTTTATTGTATCGATAAACATGGCTGCTTTGTGTGATGTTGGGTTTATGATTTGAACATGCATCATAAATTGTTTGAAGGGTTGTTTAAACCACTTTACTGTTTGTTTTTTTAATTTTGTATTTTCAAAGCTGTTGAGTTAATATGTTGTTTTGAAAAAATAAATTTGGATGTGGGAATTTTTTGCTGCCGCCTTAAGTCTTAAAACAAACAAATTTAAAAAATAAAAATAAAACTGTTATTCCAGCTCAACCCTGCTTAGCACGTCAGTAGCATGCTAGCTTGTAGCATCGAAACATGCAAGTTGATTTAGCCGAGGTGTAACTTTTCGTTTCCTGGTAAGAATATTTTATTGGCGATTTATATATTTCGAAAACAAATTTAAACAAACAAGTAGAGAAATGTCGGCGTAAGGTTTTTACAAACAACTGTCTGGGGTTTGCGCAACTCTGACGCTGACTGACAACCATTTAGCTAAAGTCAAAAACGGTAGCTACGTTACTAGCTTAGCCTAAGTAGCTCCATTTTTTTCGTCTTCTTAACTCCATAGACTTTATCATGTTTTTCTTTTACATATTAAACCCCGTGTTAATAACTCTAAATGGTGTTATTAAGTTGAGTCTATTTAGCAGCTTAGCAGCTCTTTAGTTTCGGTGTACTTGATAAATAATTAGCTGTACAGTCTTTAGAGGTTTAGCAAAGTTTGAACAAAACATTTTTAAATCATCCCTATTTTAGAACTTTACTTCAGAATTAATTGTGACAGACCTGTGTGACCCCATCTCCTACATAATTTTTTTATTTTATTTTTTTTATTTTGATATGGGGCATACAGGAGGAGTGAGCCAGAAGCAGGATGGAGGAAAATATGTGAGTAAATCTCCCTGAACACAACAACCCCACACAGTCAGATTAATTGATTAGGCAGTATACAGCGGGTAAAACAAGTCACCATTTTTCTCAGTAAATATATTACTAGAGGTGCTAATGACATGAAATGTTCACCAGATGTTGGTAACAACCCAAGTGATCCATACATACAAAGAAATCAAACCATAAATGTCCAGAAATTAAGTTATTTGTAATAATGTGGAATGGCACAGGGAAAAAGTATTGAACACATGAAGAAAGGGAGGTGTAAAAAGGCATGGAAAGCCAAGACACCAGCTGAACTCTCTCAGTAATTAGAAAGCAAGCCTGCCCCTTGTCAGTGCAAGTTAATATCAGCTGGTTCAGTCCCAAATGATGGCCAGGTATCACACAAGAACCATCTGATGATGGGTAAAAGTAAAGAGCTCTCTCAAGACCTTCACAACCTTATTGTTGCAAAGCATAATGATGGCATCAGTTACAGAAGAATGTCTAAACTTCTGAAGGTTCCAGTGAGCACTGTTGGGGCCATAATTCAGAAGTGGAAAGAACATCATTTCACCATAAACCGACCACGACCAGGTGCTCCTCGCAAGATTTCTGACAGAGGAGTGAAAATAATTATCAGAAGAGTTGTCCAAGAGCCAAGGAGCACTTGTGGAGAGCTTCAGAAAGACCTGGAATTAGCAGGTACGTTTGTTTCAAAGAAAACAATAAGTAATGCACTGAACCACCATGGCCTGTATGCACGCTCACCACGCAAGACTCCACTGCTGAAGAAACAGCATGTTGAAGCTCCTTTAAAGTTTGCTGCACAACATTTAAACAAGCCTGTGTAATACTGGGAGAATATAGTCTGGTCAGATGAGACCAACATTGAACTGTTTGGATGCCAGAATACACATCATGTTTGGAGGTCAAATGGCACTGCACATCAGCCCAAAAACACCATGCCAACAGTGAAGTTTGGAGGTGGGAACATCATGGTGTGGGGCTGTTTTTCAGCATATGGTACTGGCAAACTTCAAATAATTGAAGGAAGGATGAGTGGAAAAATGTACAGAGACATTCTTGATAAAAATCTGCTTCCATCTACCAGGATGATGAAGATGAAACGTGGCTGGACATTTCAGCAAGACAATGAGCCCAAACACAAAGCCAAGGAAACTCTCAGTTGGTTTCAGAGAAAGAAAATAAAGCTGCTGGAATGGCCCAGCCAATCACCTGACCTGAATCCAACAGAAAATCTATGGAAAGAACTAAAGATCAGAGTTCATAGAAGAGGTCCACGAAACCTTCAAGATTTGAAGACTTTGTGTGGAAGAATGGGCCAAAATCACACCTGAGCAATGCATGCCACTAGTTTCTCCATACAGGAGGCGTCTTGAAGCTGTCATTGACAACAAAGGCTTTTGTACAAAGTATTAGATAAATTTCAGTAAGTGTGTTCAATACTTTTTCCCTGTGCCATTCCACATTATTACAAATAACTTAATTTCTGGACATTTATGGTTTGATTTCTTTGTATGTATGGATCACTTGGGTTGTTACCGACATCTGGTGAACATTTCATGTCATTAGTACCTCTAGTAATATATTTACTGAGAAAAATGGTGACGTGTTCAATACTTATTTTACCCGTTGTATGATATCCAATTTCTGTGGTGTTTTTTTTCTTTTAAAGGTCTCAAAAGGAGATGCTGGAGAGAATAGCTGAGCTGGATTACAACAAGAGTCAGCTGAGGGACCTGAACGACGAGATGAGACAATGGCTGGAGGTTGCAGATGATGACATGGCAGCGCTTCGCTCTGAGAATGCCACGCTCAGAAAACAACTGAAAGTGTACGTCCTTGTATAATGACCACATATTAGTTCAATCGGTCTGTTTTTTGTTTCACTGATGGATTTAAAAGTGTCTGAGAATCACACCTTTTACCCATGAAAGGCGGTGTTTGTTTGCGTGTTTTGCAGAATGGAGGAGATCATCAGTGAAGCACAACAGGTCGAAGCAGAGCCTTATGGGTACCTGATGGCCAGCGACCTCAATGAAAACAGAAGCAGTGAAAAAAATATTCAGGATCAGGTATGTTAACAGAAAAATTATTTTAAAAAATCCATATGGATAAATCGATAAGATCATGTTTATGACTTCATGTGATGCTCAGGAGATGGAATCCACCATGTTGAAAGAAGAAAACAAGAAATTAACTACAAAGGTAGTTTTTTTTTTACTTGTTTGTCTGTAGAAATTCATCTTTAACCTGGTCAGCTGATGCGTTTTTGATCTGGTGAACCTGCTAGACAGCAGTTTACAAATATGTAAATAAAACAAGCTGTGCACTTAAATGTTTTTTTGCACTTTCAGATGAAGAACTTGGAGGAGGAGATAGACCAGGAGAAGATCACTTTGAGCAAGCTCAGGGCTGCGTTTCAGAGCCTGGAGGTAACACAACAGATGCGATCACTCCTCTCTGCTCGTCTCAACTATTTGATGAATACATTTTAATTATTGCAGCACAGATTGTCTAAACGTTACAAGTTTGAAAAGATTTACAAAAGGCTTTTAAATTTATGAATTGCATAAAAGAATAAAAAATCAGGCGGTGAGCCGTTACAGTATTGATTATTGTTACTGTGCCCTTTGTTTCGTCAGGATGAAATGGAGGAAGCTCAGTTAGAGCTGCAGCACAAACAAGAAGTTATTCACCAGGTAAGAAAATCAGGAGTCAGGATTTCGATTCATTAATTTATTACAAATAGAAATCTGTCCGTCTTAAAGTTTGACTGTTTTTAATGTTTTACCATCTTGTGTTGTCTGCGTGACAGAAAAACCTTGAGGTGGACCATCTGAAGGAAACTGTGGAGGAATATAACAACATCATTAAGGTAAAACTAAATTTTCATGCCTGTTCAATAGAAAACATATTGTTTATTTGAGCTTTACTAAGATTAAGTGTTTTTTATACAGTTTGTTAAATGAACTAAATGACTTAAATGTGATTATTTCAAAGGCCTGAATGTTTAAACTCTTGAATCGTGTGCAGCAGCGTAAATTTGAAATGTTGGTGCATTATACAAGTGAGGAACTATTGTGATAAAACGCAACAATTTTCTTTATTATCCGAGCTGTTAAAGCTGCCTTCTCGTGTTCTTCTGCTCCAGGACCTCAGGCTGATGAAGCAGGAGCTGACCCAGCAGCTGGAGGACAGACGAGACGAAGCCTCATTGTAATCCTCACATTTCCTTTCTTCAAAACGATCTGTGTAGCACAGGTGCTTATTATTTTTACTGCATGCTGCTGTGTGTTTTTCAGTGCTGTCCTCACTGAAGTGATGAGAGAAGAGGAGGAATCAGTCAGTGTTCATCTGTCCTTAGCGGAGGAAATTCAGATGCTGGTCTCAGCTGAAATGAAAACCAGCATGTTACCCACTACACATCTCACTCCAGTGACTACTGAAGAGGAAGAACATGTGAAAAGCTTATTTTTTTTTTTGTTTATTACGTTTATTACTTCAACAGCTATCTGACAACCCTGTTTGTGTCACAACAAACCCACACTCAAGCTGTTTGTTAGTGTAACACATGAAACTGTCTGCAGGAAGGGGCTGATGCTGAGGAGCTGCTGGAATCTCAAAGTCTCACAGAGAACTGTAAAACTAAAAGGTACGTCAGCTTTAAACCTTTGTCATTTCACTCGTGTTGCTTTTGTGTCTGATTTGTGTTTGTCTCGTGTCTTACCCAGTGGTTCACTCAGCAGCAGCCGGTTTGCTTGTACCCTGGAGACTGCCATCTACGGAGCGAGGCTGTTCATGCAGTGTATCTTTACATTTTCTTTTATTGTTCTAATAGTTTTGGGATGCTGTGCAGGAGACCTGCTTTCCATCAGTACTTTGCGGAGCAGTGCACGGCTCATGTTACAGCCTTACTTCTCTCTGCACTATGATGCCTTACCTCCCATTTGATCGCATACCAACGTGTTGGCTCAGTTCAAATGGCCGGCCACGGCTTGATGTTGAAGTCTGCTTTGTCTGCAGCAGATCAGAGAGATCTGGGGGAAAAAATATGATTCATACATGTTGTCAGATGTATGAATAAAGTAAAGTTACAGTTTCAAAGCCTTGTTATGTTTGAACTGTCATGACACAAAACATAATGGAGTCAAAGAGACTCAGCTTTTTGATTTTATCAATTTATTACAAAAGAAATGTTGAGCAGCGCACCCCAAAAGATTGAGACCAGTCTGAACAACAAAATCTGTCTAATCCAGATTTTCAAACATTTTTAAATAAATTCATCAGTGATAATCATCATCCCTTAAAGAGCAACATGACCTGGCATCAAACTGTGAACAGATATGGTCTGTGCCCTTTCTGTTACCTAATAAGAACATCTCTGAGGTCCTATCAGCAGTTTATCACCGAATCTTATTCTCCATAAACTTTGTGGGAAACTTGAATAATGCAAAGTTATAACAGCAAAAATTACATTTTTTTGAATGAAAAGTGGCATTGCTGAAGATGGTAAAGCCTAAAGTAGCAAAATAGTCATCTAATAGTAGCAAAATGCTCACTAGCGAAGCAGCAAAAAAATACAAATTTAATTAAAAACTAAAATATCAGGGCTTGGCTAACTAAAGTTGTAAAAGAGTAGCTGTAAGTCAAAAAGGTAGGTTGGCTAATATAGCAAAATGCTAGTGAGAAGTAAAGGCATGCAAGAAAATTTAAGACTAGCTAGAAGCAAAAAGTAACACGTTTACTAACAGAAGCAAAACACTAGCTAATAACTAAAATTAGGGAAAACAACTAAATATCAAAAGGCTGGACAAACTAAAAGCTATAAGTAGCAATGGGATAAAAGTCATGTGCTAGCTAGTGAAAAAACTAACAGAAGCAAAACACTAGCTAAAACATATCAAAATCGGGACAAGAAGACTAAACGTAACAAAAGGATAGCTAAGTCACAAGTTAGCTAGGCTAAAAGCTAACAGTAGCAAAACACTAGCTAATAACTAAAATTAGCAAAAGAATCAAAATTGGGACCAGATGAAGGTTAAACGTAACAAAGGGATAGCTAAAAGTCACAAGTTAGCTAGGCTAAAAGCTAACAGTGTAAAATGCTGAAAAATAGCAAAATGTTACCTATAGGTATCAAATCACTTGTTAAAATTAGTGAAATATGAGCTAAAAGTAGGCCTACCAAAAGGATAGCTAAAAGCTAGCTAGCAAGGCTGGCTAAAAGTAGTAAAATAGCTAAAAGCTAGTAGACAAAAGGCCTAGTTTAAAAAAATCTAAAATAGGAGTAAGCAAAAAAGGACAGTTTTTGTAAACTTAAATGAATTTTATAGGTTTTTATGTGTAAAGTAAAAAGTTAAATATTTTGAAAAGATATAAAAACTAAAAGTCACAGCACTTATTTCCTGAAGGAGCTGAATTGCTAAAATTGCACAAATTTTGCAGAAGTATCTTTTTAGGTTAGTGATTTCATATTTATTACCTAAGTTTAAATCAAATCATTTTAATGAGTGATTCAGAAC